ATCAATAGTTTATTATTATTATTTACTTCTTATTGTAACATTTCAGCCAATGTTTCACATGCTCTACCTCACTAATAATTTCTAGAAAATAATAATTTCTAGATAATTTCTAGAAAACCTTGAACTACTAACTTTACCTTCATTAACATATTTTTTGAATATGAGTGATTGAAGTTAAACATTTAAAATTTTATTTGCAGATTGTAATGGTCCTTTTGTCTTTAGAAACAGAAAGTTTAAGAAGTCATTTGTAATTTTATAATATTTTTCACTTCCGTAGTATTTTACTTCTCATTTCTGCTTGAAAACTTCAAAAATTGGAAAAAAACCTGTTATATGCAATAATCTTATTTTGTGATTGCAAGAGCACCTTTTTTTTTATTATTTGAAAGCTATGTGCATCAAAAAAAATGACAGCAGCTATAAATCCACAGTGGAGAGAAATACGTGCTAGACCATCAATATCAAATGCAAAATATTAGGCAAGAAAGAGCTAATAATGGGCTTTGTTTGGAAATGCAGATGTCAGCTGCGGGTGCCTTGGTTGTCAATAATCACATTAAACACAGGGTAGAATATCAGCCTGTGCTTGTTCTTTATTCTTCTCTCAGAATCATTCAAGCTAAGACAGTTGTGACATAAGTTCTGTTGTGGCTTAGTAAGGGAGGACGTGTGTGGAACGTATATGCCTGTATGTGCTGCATTATTCATGCTTAAGGTACTGCTTTGGGGAGTCAAGTAGAAGGTGCTTTGCTCGCAGTTAGGCTTCAAGTCATGTCTCATAGAAGACAAGAATAAAGATGCTTAATTCATCCTAGACCAAGCTAGTTATCAACTGGGAACATAGATCTAGACAATTTTTTATTATAATTGCATCTGTCAGAAGCCAGGTACATATCAGTTTCTTTTAGATAGTATTTTTCTAGGGTTTAGCATACACTTGTATACCCTACGTTGTTACTGCTACCACATCAATGTAAGTAAGACTTCCCGTAGTCCATTTAAGACTTGACAAATTTCCTGAGCTGTGGCCACAAGCCCCCTGTGGAGGAGGGGGCAAAGGACACTCAAAATCAGAGGATGAGAGGGACTCTGAGCAAGGGGGACATGCAACAGGTGCCCCTTGTATCATGAAACCCACCTGCTTTTAATTCCTGCTTTTATTTACTGACCCCAGGCTTGCATTACTGACCAGCCCTCACAGCCAGATGGAGCTGAGAAGCTACAGTTTGGCTACCTCGGAACAGGTGCCAAATTCTGTCTCTCAGCATTCATCCTTATGGGACTTTCATCATTTTGTTAAATAAATTGCTCATTTATTTATCTATTTTTGTTTGACAGATAGCAGTTGAGCTGTAGAATTCTGTAAGCATGTTTCTTTTGTGAAATGCTAGGTTTTTGTGCGACTTACTGCCTATGAGTTAGTTGGTGAGCTCATCTGAACTGCTGTAAATTTCATTTTTGAAGGGTGTAAAATCAAAAGACTTTAAAAATCCTCTTTTTTTAATGTCACATCTGCTGCAAGCCTGCTTGATGCTGTGACCTCTTAGTGCAATGCACAAAATGTCAGTTGGTGGTAAAAAAATTCAGCTGAGCTAGCAATAAGATGTGGATTCAACAAATGCCTCATCTCTTGAGGCTTGTCTAGTTTGTATTTTTGCTTTAGAGCAAGTTTTAATTACTGTAAGGGGGAAATTTTGTGTTTCTGTCACAGCTAAGAAGTACATGCTACCTGTTAATTGTGTTTTACCTTATGCTGTCTATCTTACTGTGGGACAAAAATATGTAGAAAAGGAGTTAACACCTAACACACTGAAAAATGTTCAGTAATTGTGCCCTTGGGCAGTGTTGACCCTCATGTTTCTCAAAAGAGAAAAAGCTTGCATATTGCAATAAAGTCTCAAATAGCTGAATATTTAATAATACATTGCCTAAAGACATACTTGTGTTCAATTCTGAAGTTAGATTATAGATGCATTGTAGTTTGGGTTTGGATAACTTATAAATGGGTGCTTTATATATACTAAATAATCCCTTTGTGTCTTTGTGGACATCTGCAAATTATTTATTGCAGCCTATATTACACTCCTACTTTTTTGCTAAAAGCTAGGGTTTATTGCTTGAAGGTTTTATATCTGTCTGAGGTAAATACTGCCTGTATTAGCAATGGTTTTTTATAATTATGGCCAGTTTCTAGAAAACAAACTTCTAAAAATGTCAAAGGAAAGGCCTTCTCCCTTAGTAGTGTTTTTATTCAAGATGTCCTTGATTTAAATTCAAAGTTATGGTATTTTTCTTACTGCTACCATCCGCACTTTGGAAGCATGAAATATTCTTGGTTTTCTTGACTGATGAAGAATTTGCTTGGCAGCAGTATCTGTATTTCCCCATCCCTTATAACATTTTGTGAGCCCAGCTCTGACCTTTCTGTGGTGGAACCTGGTGGTAATATACCCGCCTGCTTAGCAAGCTCTGAAATAAAAATATATGATTGGCAGAGCTGCAAGAAATAATTAGTTCTTAATAGACGTGAAAAATGAAAGGGTTATTTAAGGGAAGAGAAAGCGAGTAGACTTTGTGGAGTATATAAGGCTTTTATTTTAACTACTAAAGTATTGAAATAAATTTGTCACTATAGTATAACACATTGGAATGAATCACTGTAAGGAAGCTCCTAAATATCTTTGCTATTTTTGTAGGCTCAGTATTTAAAATGTTAATTAGTTCATTTGCTGTTTCAGAACCACATGTGAAATGTGGCCAAGTGGGAAGGTTAGCTCGGGAAAGAGCGTGCATGCTGAATTTTGCTTAAACTGCCTTGAGGAATGGTTTGGTATGCTTCAAACTAATGATAAAAAACGATGAAAGTTTCCCAGGGAAGAACTGGGCAGGCTTCTAGTGGCCATTACAGAGGTTAAGATGGTGGGATTTTTTGCACTTCGGTCAGAGTTACAGAGGAGACAACACCGGTCAGTCTAGAGATGAGCTCTCAGCTATGCTGTGCATGGAGGCAGAGGGAATAAATGACATCTCTGGGAGTGTATTTAAAGCTCTGTGGATCACGCAGCCATGCTCTGTGAAGGGTGTGTAACGAATGTGCTGCTTTCCTGCTTCTAGGATTTTTCCATATTCTAATTTTACATTCATTAAAATGTTTCTTTTATTAATAGCTACTCCAGCATATGCAAGGAAGGCAGAGTTGAAGCTGTGCAGTCTGGCTTGGCCATCCTGCTGCTCAAGTGTCAGAAGCAAGGCATTAACAACCAAATCCTTTTTTTCCGTCTTAAGATGCTCAAGATTAATAATCAGAGTTCAGGCTAGGAGGCATTTGACCTGTGTTAGTCCTGGCTTTACGCAGGATGCGCCTCCCCGTAGGCGATGGTGACTCTGCTGTCCTTGCTGCTGCAGATCCAGGCTGATTCACGAAAAGAAAGTTGTAGTGAGTTGTTCCAAGTCGTGTGGCATGGAGACACTACAGTGACAAATTGAGGACTTTTGATGGGGGTCTAGTAGGCATTTACTACTAAGAAATAAATCCAAGGGAAGCTTAACGCCCCTCCAGGAGTATGAAATGTTGAAGATTCTGGAGAAAAGCCAGTGTTATCAGTGCCGGGATGATAAATGTGGAAAGAAATCATTAAATTTATGTTAATCTAAAATAAGCTCTTGGTTTTCGCTCTTCAGAAATTCTTCAGGATGTCAGTTGGCCACTTAATTACTTTGCATTCTTTTAGATTGACCAGTTCTGATTTGCTGTGCTCCACTTTGAGGATGGGGGCTTTTTATCTGTTGAGATGCTGTCTGTTTCTCCTCCAGCTGCTTTTAACTAGGGAGTAGGTTGTGCTGGTTCCCCTGCCCTGTACCCTGCGAGGGGCCTGGCTGGGCGCTCGAGCGCTGCTGTGCCTCCGTCCTGTGCTCGTTGCTTCTCACTGCAGAGAAATTCTGCAGTTGAAGCTGCAGCTCTGTGGGCTAATCCTTGGTGCACCGTGAATGGGAGGGTTTTGTAAAGTTACTTCTGTGTGTAAATGAGGTGGCAGAATTAGATGAACTAATTGAAATAAGTTCCGCTGCCCTAGTGTGCTTGAAATGGTGCTAATGTACGAGCTTGGAGCCTCACTGCTGTAAAAGTGGCACATCTTATGGACTCTAACTTCAAAATTTATGTAGTGCCTGTTGCTCACGTTCACTTAATGATATCTGCAGTGTGTTCTCCTCACTGTCTAACTTGCAAAATGTAATAAACTCCAGTGTGGGTAATTAATAATGTGACGAATGTGTGTTTTGAACATTCCTATTGATCTGCTGCATTGCGCCAAATGTAGAAAGAATAGTGTAAAGACCGTGATTGATTTTGGATCCTGAAAGGTCAGTATACTACTGAGAATTGAATAACTTTTACTACCTTTTGGCGGCTGCACTATAACATACTTTGTGAATTTTTGTTGCCGCTGTTTATTGGAAAAATTTCCAACAACAATAACCATATCTATTTTTCTATAACAGAAAAACTAACCTTTATGTAACTAATACTTCCTTCAAAGCATCAGCATATTGCATTTGAAGCAGTGGATTTGCTTAGCTCTGGAAATTTCATTGTTATGTTGTCCTTAAAAGTATTATGAACAAAATGAGCTAAATTACTGGAGAGGTAAGCTGTGTGGAAAAGAAATATGTAGTTGCTACATCCAAAGAGGTAATTAAGAAATATTTAACTTTAAACTATTCAGCTGAATTTTAAAACTTACTTAGCTCTTACAGGCTTTGAATGCAAGTTATAGACTTTTATTTTTCTGTGAACTTTGATTTAATTAAACCTTTTATAACCCAAGACAAATGCTTGAAAACTAAATATTTAGCAAAATCCTGTATATTAGTGATTTGATAGTATTTTGTATGTCTGTATAACTATAAATGCTTTGTAAAGAAAACATTAGATTGTTCAAATAATTTGCTAAATATTAGTTTAAATACTATTTCTATTTGTTTATTCAATTTGGCAGGGGCAGCCAGTTGGAGATTGTGATTTTAGTGTTCGGCTTTCATGTATAGAGAAAGAGATTATATTTCCCCGGCATGAAAAGATGAAGTCTGGTCTTATTGACAAAGCACAGGAGCCATTCAGTGTTCGAAACAAACCGTTTTTTGACATCTCCAATGCAAGAAAGGTAAACTCGATTCAGGTTGTTTCTTATGTTGTGGTGCTGAAGGCAGTAGTGCTGTCTTGAGTAAATTTTCCCATAGCTTTTTGGGCCTTAAGCAAATTTCTATGCAAAGCAAATGTTCAGCAAACCTTGGCTGAGGTTTTGTAGTTGGGGGTACTTGGAAGGTGGTTTTAGGCTACCCATTTCTCCTAAATTACAGTTTTCCCCATATTTAAATACTGCTGCACCAAAACCGAGTTTCATGACGTTGAGCGATGACAGAGGAAGTTAACAGTTTACATCTGAACTGTCTCTGGGCTCATGGGAATGTCTGAGAGTTGTTTTGTTTATACAGTCCTCCTACATCAGTAAGATTGTAATTTTCCTTTTGCTTTCAGTCCTGGTTTGGCAATAGCATAAGAATCATGAATTATGTTTGAACTCCCATTTCATATTCAGAATTGATTATTAAGAAACCATAGTAGTTAAAGTCTCCACATCTTAATGTAATGCCCTAGGCCTTCTTAAATTAAGAATATAGCTTATAAATGTATTAGTTCCTATCTTTCATTGCGGACTGTTCTTTTCTGTATTGAAATATCCTAACGCTGTGTAAAATATTTTATTTCTCTTCTGCGCATTAAATGCCCTGTGGGAAATGCTTCCTTCTAGAGTAGCCAGTTTTCTCTTGGCACAGCTGGGGCCGTGTCTCATCAGTGCAGAGCAGTGGAACCCAAATTGTCTCCTTCCATGTGCTCTTGTCGTTACCTGGAGTGGGCGGCAGGTAGCGAGTCCTGCTCTTGGAGGAGTAACCATGGAAGTTCTGGGGACTGAAAACTAAGGAACATGATAAAGCCTAAGTTAGGCCATGAAAAAGTCTGGTGTGTGTTATGGAAAAAAAAGTTGTCAGGTGAATTACACGGATAGAGCACCACTTTGATCACTTCTTTTTATTTGTAGTCTTGCATTTTTGGATTGTGAAGTTGGTGTATTGTCTAACTAAGCATCATGAATTGGAACTGGTTTTTCATAGGAAAACAGGCTGTCTGGAACACATCATTTTGAACTTGGAATTAAAAGAAACAAGAGCAAAAGGAACCAGTAGCTTAAAAATTGCTTTCTTGCATAAATTTATTGTTGTTTGAAGTGTTTCGAGGTTTCAGACTGTCTAATGTGATTTAAAATCGGAGGAGTTCTCAGAAGCCTTTCTAGAAGAATCTGTGGGTGAAAGACTTCTATAAGCAAATCTCCTGCTAGTTATGCTAAATAATTCTGTGAACAGTGATCTGGATAAATTGTGACCTTTAAGGTAAAAGTCAAATTTTATGAAAATACATTTTTTCTTTTGTTATAGTCTGAGATTACGAAAGAAAAAAATAGTAATCAGTGTGTTTTTTCACCATATTTTTATATCGGTCCCAGGAGATAACGCGTTCAGATTCAGAGGAAACTGTCCTATGATGATGTGTGATTTTTTTTTTTTTTTTGTTCCATTTTATTTTGTTCTGTTCTATTCTTAAGGCTATTCAGAGAATATTGAGAATGATGGGTTTGTATCTGATGAGGAACAACTAACTTCTTTTGAAGCTGCATTTTGCAGCCTTTCAATCCATATAAATTGGATGTACTGTTCAACTATAGGCATTCTGTCCTCTCATGTGCCCGTCCTGAACTCTGTTCTTAGATCTGTGGTGCCTTTCTTAGGCAACCAGAAACCATTTGTAGAAGATTTGAACTATCTGTTTACATTTATGCTGTGGCTTTAAAAATAGTTTGAAGAATCAGTTACCGTCATATCTAAACACTTTCCTGCTGGATCTTAGCTCCCTTCCCCAATTCCTCAATTCAGTTTCTTCTACAAGAGGCAGTTGGGCTTAGTTG